AAGAAACAAGGTACAAGGAAGTAGCCGGAGCATGTACTCCTGAGGCAGGGGCTGTGCCACATGGGAGTGGGACGGCAGAGAACAAGTTCCCTTTGTCTAGCCTCCTTCCTCAGGCACCACGCTAACCCCAGACGCCTCCTTCCTGTGTCCAAACCTGACTTCCTGAGTCACGTATGCTCCCTAGGTGTAGCACTGACCCCAGATGCCTCCCCCCGGTATCTGGGCCTGACTTCCTGCGTCATGTACATTCTCCTTTGTCTATGCACTGATCCCTCACGCCTCCTTCCAAATATCTAGGCCCCACTTCCTGTGCCACGTATGCTCCCTTTGTCTGGGCACTATGCTAGACATCCTCTTCCGATATTTGATCCTCGACGAGTCACTAGGGGCGGGCTGAGGAGGAGGGATGTGGAAGACTTAAAAGTACTGTAGGGATGGGGGCGGAGTCGGCTTTTGCTCCTGCTCATGCGCGTGTACTTTCCTGCCTGGCCTTGCTGTGATGATTATTGAATAAAGTTTAGGTTTTTGCACCTCTTGATCGGCTCGTCTCTGGTAAATCCGGGTGGCCCCGAGGACCGGTGAGTATGACCCTGGTTGCCTGATCTGGCTGATAGAGAGTGCGCAGTTTGGACCGGCACAACCATGCAATGATTATGCAATGAAAGGTTATAAACTAATTTTTAGACTGGAAAAAAAAAACAACAACCAAAAACCCAAAACTCCAGGTGCGACAATTCTGTGGTGAAATGTAGTATACACTGTGTACGTTTGTATGTGTCTGTATAATACACATACACATATCTAGACATACATCTACTTACAGGTTGTACTCCTCAGTATAATATCAGCTCCTTGATGGCTGTATATATCTGTCTGTTTTTTAGCATAGTGCCTTGTACATAGTAATAAATGCTTGTTTGTTTATTTTCTTGGAGGCAGGGGACAATTAGAAAGAGTTTGGAAGAATCTGAAATGCATCGATTACTTATATAGCCAGGAGTTGACATGGGATGAGGACACAGCTAGGTGGCTTGGTGGATGGAGCACTAGGCTTGGAGTCAGGAAAACCTGAGTTCAAATCTGGCCTCAGACACTTACTAGCTGTGTGACCTTGGGCAAGTCACTTAACCTCTGTTTACCTTAATCTACTGGAGAAGGAAATGGCAAACCAATCTAGTTTCTTTCCCAAGAAAGCCCCATGGATAATATGGTTCACAGGGTCATGAAGGGTTGGACATGAGTGAACAACAATAACAACATATTTGAAATGAGTAGGAGTCAAAATTCTTTGATGGCCAAGGAAGGATTAGACTTAGGTGAAGAATAGAAATAGGTCAGAACTGGAAATGCTTGAGAACCAATCAAGGGCTTGGGTTGCATAGCAGAGTTTGGAGGGAATTAAGTGAAACCAGTAAGATTTGTAGATGAAGATGGTAAGTCCCTAAAGCTGGTCCATGCCTCTGTGATTGACAGCCTAGATTTGGTTTGCCTCCTCAAGACTCCGAGTTCCTTGGTAGGCAAGTAGGTTATGTGGTGGATAGGGTGCTGGGTCTGGAATCAGGAAGATGGGAGTTCAAAACTGGCCTCAGATATTTACTACCTGTGTGGTTTTGGGCAAGTCACTTAAACCCTGTTTGCCTCAATTTCCTCATCTGTAAAATGAGCTGCAGAATGAAATGGCAAACCACTCCAGTAGCTTTGCCAAGAAAACCCCAAATGGGGTCAGGGAGAGTCTGATATGACTGAAACAACTCAACAACAACACATTGTAAGAGGTCTTAGGGAAATGGGTACATGTGGTATGAGGTCTCTAGATGAAGAAAGAAGTACCAAGTTCAGCAAGCTCAACTTTACCCATCGTCTCTCTAATGTTCTGTATACCCGAAACATCCAATGGAAAAGATGATGTTCTCTCCTGGTAAGATTGGGAGGTAGGGAGAATCCCAGCGTTCTACCCCTGGACAAGTCACAAACTCTGTGGGTTGGACTGGATAATTTCATATTACTTCCAAGTCTAAATTCTATGTTCTTAATTCCCATATAGAGGTGATCTCAACATAATCAAAGGCTGATTCTACCTCTCTTCTTCATTCTGTCGCCCCCTATTCTTATCCCTTAGGTGTCACCAATTGTATAGGAGTGGGGGAAGCCACACATAGAGGCACCAATTGTCATCCCCTTTCCCTCCTCTCCACTTCTCTCTTCATCTAAAGTTTTATTTAAGCCTTCCCTGATTGGTCAGATAGGTGTGATAACTTGTCCTACCCTCCCAGGACTTAGTACTCCCACTCCCTTTTACTCTTCTCATTCTGCCCCAAGTCCTAATTCTATACTTATTGTCACTCTTTCTTTAAAGAACTTACTCTTTTTGTTTTGTTTTGTTTTGTTTTTGGTGAGGCAATCGGGGTTAAGTGAGCTGCCCAGGGTCACACACCTAGTAAGTGTCATGGTTCTGAGGTCACATTTGAACTCAGGTCCTCCTGACTCCAAGGCCAGAGCTCTAACTACTGCGCCACCAAGCTGCCCCCAAGAACACTTATTCTTGACCTGTATTTCCAATTCCACTTAGGTCCCTTCCAGCTCTGAATTTGTGACTCTGTGTGATCCTTAGATATTGAGTAATTACTGTCTGCTTCTTTATCAGTCTATTGCTTGGATTTCCTAAACTTTGTGGATTTGGGTGAGTCCCTTTGCCTTTCTGAGCCTCAGTTTCCTCATCTTTAAAATGGGGTCAATGACTCTTACTTTGCCTACTTCTTAGGGATGTCATAAGGTTGCCTCTTTGCTAACTCTAAGGCACTATGTCAGCTATTATGATAATCCATCTTTCTATGCCTTATTTATCCACATGAGTGTAACTGTTTGAGATGGCAAGCTCCTAGGAGCAAGGATTGTGTCTATACAGTTACACCTCCTCTCGAGAATACTAGGTGAAAAATCCAGATGTTAATCATATAAATTGGGGGCAGGGAGGGAGTTGATTGGAAGGGAAGGGTACTGGGGAGAGAATCTCTGCTTGATAGTAGGATTTGCACAGGGTTCTGATACGAATCTAACTCCCTGTATTTAACTTAGGACTCGATTCACAAATGGTTGATTTCTGTAGACTTTTTCAGGAACACACATACAAGGCTAAACCACATGACGAGGTATCCCTCACAATTGTTTTGGTGAAGATGAGGTTAAGAATGATAAAAGTGAATATATGGCCTTAATTCAGAATTTTCCCCAAAGGGAAAAAGGGGAAAAGGGTCATGTTTAGTTTGCCTCTCAACTTGTTACTTTTCCCGTTACTTGCCCAGCAGTCACTAGTTGGGTTTAGGAGCACATCCCTCAATCAGTCAATCAATAAGCATTTATTAAGCATCTGTTACTTTCCAGGCACTGTGCTGGGTGCTAGAGATACAAAGTTGTTGTTTGACCTTTGTTTTGGAAGAGGACCAGTGGAGATAAGGAGATAAAATAGAAACAACGAATCCCCTCAAGGAATTTACCTTCTATCAGGGCTGACCCGGTCACATTTAAGTAGATACAAAACTAATCCAATTCCTTGGTACAGGAGACACTAGGAACTGCTGAGTGGATGGTTCAAATCAAGAAGGGCTTCGTGTAGGAGGTGGCATTCGAGGTGAATTTGCTGCTGACCTGGGGAAGACATTGACTGGATGGAAAACACTGTGATAACATACTAAGGAGAGCTGCCTATCAAGAAGCCCAGGTATCTGGAAATCAACTCCTTCCTTCCAATGCACAATTGAAGAAGGCAACTAACAGCCTTTCTCAACCCTACAGCTTGCAAAGGAAAAGCCAGAAATTTTTTTTTAAAAAGAATGCTATGCAATGCAATCATCTAAGATAATTCCAAAAGACTCATGATGCTATTCACATCCACAGAAAGAACTATGGAGTCTGAATGCAGATCAAAGCATACTATTTTCTCTTTCTTTTGTTTTTTGCTTTTTCTTTCTCATGGTTTTCCCCTTTTGTTCTGATTTTTCTTTCTCAACATGACTAATGTAGAAATATGCTTAATATGATCATACATGTATGGCCTATATCAGATTGCATGCCGCCTTGGGGAGGGGAGAGTGGAGGGAAGGGGAAAAATTTAGATCTCAAAATTTTATAAAAGAGAATGTCGAAAACTAAAAATAAATAATTTTTAAAAGGGTAGGGGAAGAACGCTATGGGGCAGCTAGGTGGCACAGTAGATAGAGCACTGGTCCTGGAGTCAGGATGTCCTGGAGTCAGGAGGACCTGAGTTCGAATGTGACTTCTGACACTTGGAACTTACTAGCTATGTGACCCTGGGCAAGTCACTTAACCCCAATTGCCTCACCAAAAAAAAAAAAAGAATGCTGCCCCAATTTTAAACTTATCTGGCATGTATATGACTATAGTCAAGACAGATTATGAATGACAAACCAAGAAGATGCTAGGATTAATGGATAACTCAGAAAGCAGGAATTCTAAGAAATACAGGTGAAGAGGGAGCACCTGTTCAAAGGAATGGAAGTAGGAGATGCAATGCTACATAAAAGAATGTATGAAGGGAAGTAATGGAGGAGCAGCCAGGAAGGGTAGGTTGGAGGCAGATTGTGAAAGGTTTTAAATGCCAAACAGAGGATTTGTATTTGTGTTTGATTGCAGAGGTAATAGGAAGCCACTAGAGGTAAAACCTAGGAGAAATGGAGCCAGGGAGTGACGTGGTCAGACCTTTAGGACTTTGACTCCCCTTTGACAGCTGTATAGAGGATGACCTGGAGACAGAAGATACCCATAGTCTCTCCTGCCTGCATTTTTCCTGGGTCTTGTTTCCCTGGCCCCCAAACTGGCCCCCACCCCAACTCAATCCCACAGAAAATAGATCTCACCTTATCACAGGCCCCACTCTCCTCATTGCAGGAGCCCTGCCACGCATTCACATGGGCATCTTCCTGTGTCTGCAGCTATTGGTTGTGTGAGGCTGAGGAATTCATTTCTGGGAATGTCACAAGAGGACATCCCATGCCAGGTGAGGCTTATGAAATATCTGGATAAATCACACACACTGCTGCCTGGCTTCCGGCCAACAACCACAGCTCTTCTGAAAGCCCTAAGGCTTTAACCTACTAGAGGAACCTATAAAAGGCTCCTATCCCTCCAGATCTCATCAGAGGTCCTGACTCCTCCGCCCCACACTTTTCCTGTACAACTGACCAGGTAAGCAAACATCTCTGGGCTTTCCTTATTTTCAACTTGACCAAAAGGGCCCTGGGCACAAGGCCGGTCTTTCCCTTGGTCCAGCCTGGACTGTAGTTAGACAGGAAGAAGAAGGAAGGGGGAAAGAAGGGAGGTGTGACTTTTCGTGTAGGGTTCAGGAGGGAGCCCACAATGGCAAAAATGACAAAGAGTCGCAAGAGGAATAGAGGCCACCAATGACATTAGTGGTCCAGAATGGGCTAGGTTTGAGAAAGAGAATGGAAGCAGCTTAGGCAGACCTGGTTCTTCCTGCTTCCAAATCTGAGCTTCTGCTTTCTTTACTTTTTAGAGGCAGTTAGGTAGAACAGGCGTTAGAGTGCTGGACCTGCAATCAGGAAGACAGAGCTTAAATCTGGCCTCAGACACTGACTAGCTATGTGACTCTGAGTAAGTCACTTAATCATTGTCTGCCTCAGTTTCCTCTTCTATAAAATGAGGAGAATTAAAGCACCTCCCTACCAGGGTTCTTGTGAAGATCAAATGAGATATTTGTAAGACAATAATAATAATTAACATTTACATAGTACTTACTATGGGCCAGGCACTATGCTAAGCCCTTTGCAATTATTAGACAAACAGAGGTTAAGCAATTTGTCCAGGGTCACACAGCCAGTAAGTGTTAGAGGCTGAAGTTGAATTAAGGTTTTCCTGATGCCAGACCCAGCACTCTAAAGCTGTCCCAAACTTAACAAACCTTAAAGTGCTATTTGTGTGTGTATGTGTGTATACACATATGGGCATATACACATATATGTGTGTGTGTATGTATATGTATATGTATATGTATATATATATGGTTTTTTTTGAGGCAGTTGGGGTAAAGTGACTTGCCCTGGGTCACACAGCTAGTAAGTGTCTGAGGCCAGATTTGAACTCAGGTCCTTCTGACTCCAGGGCCAGTGCTTTATCCACTGTGCCACCTAGCTTCCCCTGTTATATATATTTATACATACATATATATACATATATGTTTTATATTTTAACTCAGTTTATATATATGCATATGTTTATATATGTAAATATATATAAACTGAGTTAAAATTCAGTCTATAAATTTATATACACATATATGTATGTATATATGTGTATATATACATATTTTCATATTTGAACTCAGTTTATATATGTACACATATATTTATATATAAACTGATTTCAAATCCAGCTTATAAAAATAATGTATGTGTGTGTATGTATTATGTATGTATGTGTGTATACATATATACATATACATACATATACATATATAATATATATGTATGTATGTATGTATGTATGTATATACACACAGAAGTGTTCTTATGGCCAATGACCAAGGAGGAGGTGGGCTGTTAATATTCTCTGATTTGCTCGTTTTTTACTGGTGGTGGTTTTGGGAGAAGGGTGTTAATTCACCTGGTGAAGTTGGTTGGACCATGCCTGGAAAACCATGGGTTTATCATGGGGGGATAAGGCAGTGAATTTTTTAAGCTGGTTAGATGGGAACAGCTCTGGAAATTTTAGGTGTGATTTGTCACCAAAATCTACTTGTGAGATCTTGGACAAGTCATATAATAACTCTTGGCCTCAGTTTCCATATCTGTAAAATGAGAGGATTATAATAGATGGCCTCTCAGGTCCTGCTCAGCTTCAGATTTATGTTTCTTTGAATGTTGTTGATTCCCCCCACCCCCATCCTATGGAGGTGGGTTGTTTATTGGGAAGTGATTGATGTGTCACACTAAAGTGTATCAATTAAAAAAAAAATCTGTTTGTTCATTTTGCAGGGTCCCCCGCTGAGCACCAAGGGACAGGCACCTATAGCCTCGACTTTCTGCTCTGTTCTCTTCCAGGTCGGGTTCATAAGCAGCATTGATGTCTCAGCAGCCGCAACAACAGCCCTTTCCCAAGAGCTCCACTCCTCCCTGCCCAGCCCCCTGCTCAGCCCCCTGCTCAGCTCCCTGTGCGGTCCCTAGGTCCGGAGGTTGCTGTCTCATAAACCAGAGACCCAGGGCACAGAGTCCCAGCTGCAGGGGAAGTCAAAGGCAGCCCCCCAGGGCCACTCGGAGGAGACCCTGTTGCCTCCAAGGGGACATCTACTATCATTGCAAAGAGGAGGAATGCTAGGTGTCAGTGCCCTTAAGTGGAGGGGCCTTGGTCTCAGGTCTGGGGAGTTGGTGGAGGGTGTATTGAACTGCAGTGGATAGTAGGGAATCTTCTACTGGCTCCTCTAAAGAAATTAGATGCTAATTTTTAAAAAGATGCCCCAAAGTCCTTCTTCTTCCAGTAAAGAAACCATCTTCATTGCAAGTACCTTGATGGGGAGAACTAAATAAAGAAGAATTTCTTCCTTGTCCTCCAGCTAAATAACGTAACATGTCTCTGCTATGAACTCATTGGCCTCCAGGGTATTCTTGGGTCTTCATTCATATACTCTATCTCTAATCACACCTACTCCACTTGGTTGCTTTGTCCCAAGGAAATCTGACATGTTTTTAGGAAGCAGTTAATCTGTGGGCTCATAGGATTTAATCCTAATTCTTGATCCCCTTGTCCAACCTCCTCATTTTACCCGTGATGAAATGAAAGAAAGTCTTCATGGCATACTGAAGTCAGAGGTTTTTGGTTGTTTTTTGTTCACTCTTTTCCAGTCATGTCTGACTCTTCATGACCCCATTTGTGATTTTCTTGGCAAAGATACTGGAGTGGTTTGCCATTTTCTTCTGCTGCTCATTTGGCAGATGAGTAACCGGAGGCAAACAGGGTTAAATGACTTGCCCAAAGTCACACAGCTAGTGTGGATGGATTTGAAATTAGATCTTCCTGACTCCAGGCCCATTGCTCTATCCACTGTCCCATCTAGCTACCCTAACTCTGACTCAGAAGTCAGAGGTCCTGAGTTCAAATCCTGACTTCCCACTTTCTACCTGTGTAACCTAGGGCAAGTCACTTAACCCCTGGGGAGTCTTAGTTTCCTCATCTGTAAATGAGGAGTTGTTTTAAATGGCCTTTGAGACACCTTCCTGCTCTAGGTCTATGACATATAGCCAGGCATATAAAGTCACAGGCAGTAACCAGCAGATTTGAACCCAAGTTTTCTGATCTGAACCCAGGTCTTATGACTACTCATAGTTTGAAATCACATCTAGTTAGGGAGTACTTTGAGAGTTTACAAAGCACTTTCCGTATAGTTATAACCCATGAGGTTGTTATATATATATCATTCAAGCTTTTACCAGCCTGTGACTTCATGGGGGGTGCTCCCCTTACTGTCACAGATGGGAACTCCCTCTCGTACATAGTTGGTGGTCTTTTGAGACCTGCCTACTGTGGCCAGACTGGTGATTAGCTTCTCCAAGCTTAGTGAGCCTGACTCTAGGATGTCAGCTGTAAAATCATATGAGATAGGACCATAGGTTTAGAGCTGGAAGGGAAGAGGTTGTGTAGATTGTTTTGTTGTTGGTAAGTCATTTTTAGTCGTTTCTGAATCTTCATGTGGATTAGGCAAACAGAGGGTAAGTGGCTTGCCCAGGGTTACACAGCTAGTAAGTGTCTGAGGCTAGATATGAACTCAGATCTTCCTGACTCCAGACTGAAACGCTCTATCCAATCCAGCACCTAGCTGCCCTGGTTTTCTTTACATCCCAACTAAAATCTCACCTTCCACAAGAAGTCTTTCCTGGACCACCTTGATATTAGCAATGCCTTCCCTCTGTTGATTGTCTCCAATTTATCCTGTGTAACTCTTATTTGGGCAGCTAGGTGGCTCAGTGGATAGATTGCTGGGCCTGGAGTCAGGAAGATGAGTCCTCCATTTCCTTGTCTACCTCATTTGACAGATGAAGAAACTGAGGCCAGCCTGGCCTCAGATACTTACCAACTGTGTGATCCTGGGCAAGTCATTTAACCCTGTTCACCTCAGTTTCCATGTCTGTCAAATGAAACGGAGAAGGTATTCCAGTATCATAGCCAAGAAAACCCCAAATGGGGTCATGGACAGTTGGACACAACTGAAATGACTGAACAACAACTGCAATAACAAATTCTTGTTTGTTCACCGAAATTTGCCCTTCATCTCCCACATTAGATTGTGAGCTCCTTGAGAGTGGGGACTGTCTTTTGCATTCTTTGTATCCCCAAAGCTTAGCACAGTGCACGGTACATGGTAGGTGCTTAATCAATGTTCACTGATTGTTTGACTCTCTGAGCACCAACCCTTCCGTATTCTGAGAGTCTCGTTGCCAGAGGGCCAGCCACCACTTTCTGATTTTTTTTTTTGGCTGAATCCACCAATGAAACAAAAAAATGGAAGGATTATAATCTGTATTGGTGAATGGGTACCCGAATATCTGAAATCATGGGTCTTTGGGAATACTGAATTGTAGGAAGTATCCAGAATAAAGGAGCTAATAGTATCTGTACTCTGCAGTGATCAAACCATATCTGTCACATTCTTTTTAGTATGGGGCACACAGCTCAAGAGGGGCATAGACAAATCGAGGTGTAACCAGGATGATGAGAAGAATGAGGAGATCTGAAATCATACTCTGATACAAATGATTGAAAGAATTGGGATATCCAGCCTAGAAAAGAGAATTTCAGAATCTTAGGATCGTAATTTTGAAGCTAAAAGGGACCTCAGAGGTCATGGAGTTCAACCCCTCATTTTATAGATAAGGAAACTAGAGTGCAGGGAGATTAAATGACAAGAGTCTTGGAAGGAACATGATAATTATCCTTAAATATTTAAAGAGCTGTCACATGGGAAAGGGTGTAGACTTATTGAGAATGAGGACCAATGGGTGGAAATTACAGGAAGTCAGATTTCAACTGGATATAAGGAAGAGTTTCCTAACAATTATTACTGTCCAAAAATGGAATGGGGTGACTCATGAAGCAGTGAGTTCTGTCACTTGGAATGTTCAAGCAGAGGCTGAATGGCAATCCATCAGGAATGCTACCACGTGGTTCCTCTAGAGATCAGGAGATTGGACTAGAAGAGATTCATTTTTTCCATTGTTAAGATTTTATGAGTCTAAGGTTGGACAAATCTATGATGCTGATATCCTATAAATCAAAGATTCAGTGATCTTGATTGTTGATTATTTTGTGATTTTAAGACAAAGATTCCATGATTCTAATAACTTTGCTTCTACTATTACAATATAGTTCCTGGGGACTGCCAGACTTCTAGAAAGCATCAGTTTTGGATGTGGGTGGATACCTTCACCTTGTTCTTGAAGGGTTGACCAGGTAAGATCCTGGATCTCCAAATCAACCCCAACACCTGTCATTCTAGTCATTGTGTCTTTATTGTTTTGGTTCTTGAAAACTTTTTCATCATTCCTTCTCATGGTGATCACTAACCTTGAAATTGCCTAGATTATTACTTGGCATTTAGCCACAAGCTTTCTGGTATTGATGTCTTTGCATGTTTATGTTGTCTTCCCAACTATATCATAAGCTTTTCATGGGCAGGGGCCATGCCTTATAATTTACCTCTCCTTGGATCATAGGGTCATAGATTTAGATCTGGAGGGATCTTAGAGGTCACTGAGTTCAATCCCCTCATTTTGCAGAAGAGGAAACTGAGACCCAAAGAGGTTATGTCTTTTGTCTAGAGACATGCAGCTGAGCAAGAGTACAAGGCAGATTTGAATCCAGATTTTCCTATTTCCAAGTCCAGTGCTCTATCCACTATCCAAGGGTGGGGAACTTGTGGCCTCAAGGCCATATGTGGCCCTCTAAGTCCTCAAGTACAGCCCTTTGGCTGAGTCCAAACTTCCCAGAACAAATCCCCTTAATAAAAGGATTTGTTCTGTAAAACTTGGACTCAGTGAAAAGGCCACACCCAAGGAAGCTGCAGGTTCCCCACCCCTGATCAAGAGTATAGTCCTTAGGAGAACAATACAACTTTCCTTCATAAAATGCCTGTAACAGTATCCTGATTGCTGTCCTCTGGATATGTTCCAGTTTATCAATGGACCTTATTAAGATGAGTCACTCAGAATGTCACACACAATGCTCCAGATATATTCAGACCAGGTGAGAATACTGAAAGACTATCAGCTTCTTTATTCTGAGCTCCATGAGTCTCTTAATACAGTCTAAGATCAGAATAGCTTTTTTTTTTTTTGGTCATACTATTGACATATTTTGAACTTTCAGTCCACTAGAATGTCCAGATCTTGCTTCAGAGGAACCACCTTCTAGCCACACCTTCTTCCATCTTACTTTTGTCAAAATGATATTTTTAACCTAAGTATCAGACTCTACATTTATCTTTATTAAATGCCATTTTATGAAAGTCCATTAATCATTTTCTCTGAGTGAACTTTTTGGATCCTGATTCTGTCATTCAGGGTGTTAATGTTTGCTATCTCTCCTAGTAGTGTGTCCTCTCCAAATATGACAAGTATGCCACCTCTGCCTTCATCTGTCATTAATAAGATTATTGAATAGCATAGAAATGAGCAGAAATTCCTGAACCCCTGAACTACAAGCCCTCCTCCCACAACATGACATTGAACTATTTATGAGAAATCCCACCATCTGACCCGTTCCAAATCTACCAAACTATACTACTGTCTAGCTAAAATGATAGTTCTGATCAAAACGATTGCCAACTATGATTCTGGAAGGCTGCTGATGAAGTACACTACCTGGGAGTGGAGCCAAGATGGCAGAGTAAAAACAGTGACTTGCTTGAGCTCTCCCCCAAACCCCTCCAAATTCCTGTAAAAAAATGATTCTAAACAAATTCTAGAGCAGCAGAACCCACAAAAAGACAGAGTGAAACAAATTTCCAACCCAAGACAACCTGGATGGTTGATGGGAAAGATCTATGGTGCTGGGCTGGGAGAGGAGCGCAGTTTAGCATGGGCCAGGCAGGCAAAGAGGGGGCCCCAGAGAACCTGGAGCAGGTCTCAGGGGACTGAATCACAGGCAGCTGTGGTGGTTTCCAGACTTCTCAATCCACAAACCCACAAAGATAACTTAGGTCAGTGGGAAAGGTCTGTCAGACCTGGGTAAGAGAGGAGTGCAGCCTGGGGTGGTGGTGGCAGTTGCTTCCAGAGCTCTTGCCCACAGGACATGGGCGGATTGAGCAGCTGATCAGAAGGGGCTGGCAGGGATCTCTTTGCTGGCACTGAGGGAAGATTCTCTCGCTTTGCCTGTACTTGGATCTAGGTTACAGTCTCGGGTGGTGGTCCAGGTGTGAGGAGTAGCGCTGGCATGGAGGATTTTGTGGTGTCAGTGAAGAGGGAATCCTCCTCACAGTTCTAAGGCAGAAAAGAGTGTTTGTGGTTACTCATAGACCAGCGCACAGGCCAGGAAAGGAGTAAACACCTTTCGTTTGATCAAATCACCTTGAAAT